CCGGGACTTGGCGGGGAGCGGAATGAAAACTTTTCGGTAAAAACTGGGACAAAGAAATACGTGCCTCCAGGCCCGAGGAACAAGCCCAGACCCAGAGAGCTTACCGTCAAGGAGCGGGCCCAGGGACGGGAGAGGGACCGACAAGTGCCGGCGAGCAATCCCATGCTGGGCAGGGTGTCCTCAGCAGCCCCTGACTGTTCTAGTAGGCAGCAAGGGCAAAGAGGAAGCTTTTTACGTGGAATCGGGGGGGGGGGATGGGGGTGTGAAGTAAACTTGTGCACCTTTGCTGCAAATGGTGCAGGGCTCCGTGGGGGAAGAGGCAGGCGTACCGCCCTCGGAGGGCAGAGCGCAGCACGGCGGGCCCCTTGCTGGTGAGCCTCCCTCTCCCTCAGGAGCGAATGAACGCTGGTAAGCGGGAGGGGCTGCGTTTCCAGCGCCACAGCGTTTTGGCCTTCTGCGATGACAGCCTGCCTCGATCAGGAGCTGGCGCGTGCTCGTAGCTGACCCATCTGCTAATAATAGTTGCTCGGCTTCAGACACTGGAAGGGACCAGAGGTATTAGAGCAGTGTGGATGCGAGGAAGGCTGGAAGACTGCTGAGGGAAAAAAATTCAGAGTCTGCCCACTTTTTGGCTTGTGGAGGTGGTCTGAAACACTGAAACCTCCATTTCGCTGTTTCTTCTACATTTATTACATTTAATTTCTGTCATTTTTCTTGCATTTCAATGTATATACCCTGTAGGTCAAGACACGGTTTTGTTACCAGGTAGCTATTCTGGATGATGTAGGACTCGCCGTAAGATTTGGTCTGTCATGGATGCGGACGTGTGCTACCACCATTTTTTTCCCCCAGTGCTCTCATTTACCTGAATTTTTGCTCTTTGCTACGCTGTTATTATTCTAACAGACTGCCTTGTAACAGCAGAATTATTTAGGCTGTTTTTTCTTGGGAGAGAGTACAGGTTTATTTGGTTCCTGCTATTTAGAGTCCTATTCACGTGAAAAGTTCTCAGCCCGCAGTGTGATACAAATATTTTAAATAACAGTATAATTCATTCAGAAAGCCTTACATTTTTCAGTAATTACAGCTAACTAAATTACTTTATACTTGTTTGTGCTTAAACACTATAATTGGATGTGGTGGCTTTTTTAAAAAAAAACAACAACACACAAATTACTCTGTGTTATGATGAACTGTTTTCCTGTCTTACCATTTTCCCACTCTATGGTTAGAAAAGCTGTTGGTTTTATTTTTGAGGAGAGGATTGTTAGGGTTTTTTTAGTGATTACTACATTTGGTAAGATGTTGTGCTAATTGCTACTTTTTCTTGCTTAATGTAGACCCAGTAAAGAAGGTCTACATAAAGGAGTTCACAAGTAGGATGCTCACAATAATTAAATTCTATTTTGCTCTCCCATGATTGTACAGTAATTTCATGTAGAAGAGACAGACTGTTATTTTGAAATAATTTCTATTGTGGTACAGTATGCTCATATTTAAACTGAAAGGACTGTTCAGAAAAAGCACTATTTGTCAGTCATAAAGAGTTGCAGGTTATAAGGCATCTTCTAGCAAATGTAACTGGTAAAGGCATGTAGAAGCAAGAGAAACAGGGAGATGAATGGAGGAAATAAAATACAGGTTAAAATTACTAGCTGCTAATTTAAGGCTTCACCTTCTGACATAAAAGAATATTGAAATTATTAGGGGAGAGAGCTCTTACTCTTTTAAAATTTTGTCGTCTCGTTTGCTTCTGCTTAAGTAAGATGTAGGGTTGGACTATTTGAATTTAATGGCATCCCATGCTTAAGGAGAAATAGCAGTGAAGATGGCACTGGGGGAAAGAAGTGAAAGGCACTGTATGGCTCATGTCACAGCAACAGCAAATAGAATGAGGAAAAATAAAATCTTGCTACTGGCTATGAAGTTTTATTTTGAGAATTTTGTTCAGCATATTTGATTCTAAGGAAGGGGTGTGTGCCATTCAGCTGTGTGGTTAGCTGTATTGTCTTATAGAGAGTGTTTTTCTGTCACAGGATGAGGACAGGGCAGCTGGCCTGTGCAAGGTTAAAAGTGGGTAGAGTGGTCACTAAGAAGGTTAATGGATATTGCTTGTGCTGTGGCTTTGGGATACGTGACAGCCTGGTCCAGAAGTTAATTCTAAGGCAGAATATATATGAAGTGATTTTTACTGGGATAGCCCCTTGAGTCTATGGTGAGTGATCAGAGGATCAGTGCCAAACTGACACAAAGTAAATCAGAAACCAGAGAGTATTTTTGACTTGCTCTTCTGAGACAAGGATACTATAGTGGGAAGACTATATTGAAGGCTGTATGCAGTGCATCACTGAACACTGAAACACACTGCAGTGGTTTAGTGATTTGTGCACAGGCACTGGCACATACTGTTTTCATGTCCATGGCACGTGGATAGTATATCCAGTTCACAGGTGCTCTGTGAACACTTTTAACAAGTGGTGGTGTATTCCAATAGCCACAGCAGGGGTGCATTGTTTTCCTTGCCAATAGTGTTGATGAAGCTGGAAAAAATAATCCTTAGCTGCCTAGGAAAATGAATGATCTGACTTTCACTCCTGTAGAGTTCCTTTCTTTACCAAAATACATCTTCTCCAACAGAAGAAATTACATTTTCTCCAGATATTCATTAGTGTGCTAATGACTACCCTAGGCATTAACCCAGTTCTGTAATCCCTGGTCTTTTGACCCATTAGGCTGTCCCCATCAGCTGGGGTCATCTCCAAGACCTGCATATCTATTATTTGATCATCTGTGCTGCAGGGAAGTATCTTAGAAAATGGCCAGAGAGGGAGCATTTGGAGAAATGGTTGAGGAAATTGAAGCTGTTGGGTAGAACTTTTGGGACTTGATACTGAACACAGGAGGAAATTCATTGTTGCCATTACCTGTTTTTTTAATAAGCAGCTTGCATACTTGAACAGCACTGTATTAGGAGAAACCCAGTGAGCGATACTGGCCTGTCTCACCCTTCACTATAGGATTCGTTGTTGGAAAAACTTTGGTAACACTAGGCATTACAATAACCATAAACATAACATTTCACTGTATGGAGACTATAATCTTTTTGCATTTTCTTATCTTTTCAAACATACACCCTGATTTTCAATTTAACTTATCTTTGGAGAGCTTTTCCTATCACAAAGTAAATTGTAAGAAAATGACATTTCTTCCCCTTTCCCTTGAAGATAGTGGTTTATATTTGCAGTTAAGGTTCCAAATCTGATTTGTAAAGCTCATCATATTACTATAAGAAATCTAAAGCCTATACAGAATATCCATCTGTTAACGAATCATTGCTTTCCTTTTACTTCTTTTTGAAAAACAATCAGATCAGTGTAAAATTGCTGTGTATGGTCATAGGCTGTATTAGAGCTAGGGAAAAGATATTTTAAGTCACTTAGGACTAGCTCTAATAAAGTGATTCTTAATACTGTTTTCTTGTGGTTGCTTGTTCCCTGGAATGGAATCCAGAACTATGTTAGGGATCCTCTCTCTGTGCTTCAGAATCCTGCTGACCAAGGAATCCTGCTGTCTTGAGGTAGGATAAAAGAAAATGCCGTAAAGAAGACACTTTCTGCAAATGAGTAAGGTGGGCAAAGTTTATTAGATGTATTCTATTTATCACCTGTTGGTAACTAGTTCCTGGAAGTGAAAGTACTTGTACAGAAAAGAGACCTAAGGTGTCACTTCTCTCTCCAACTTGCTTATTCATTCCACATTTCCCATAACTTGGGAGAATATACTAGTTACCCAGCTAAAGATAAAAACATGTTTTCTTTTTCTCCATGGTGGCAGAGCTTCGAAGAATTTGTGATCTGTGGGACTATAAGGCATGGAAAAGAACATGCCTGTCCTCAAATAACTGTAGAACTCACATGAGAAAGGGAATTACAGGGATCTGCAAAGACCAATTTAAGTGTTTTACACTAAACAGACATGTACAATTACATTAACAACCCTTTTTTTTTTGGTTTTGTACTATTTTATATTTAGTTAGGGTAAATAATGAGAATATTACGGTTAACCCAGTCATTGTAAATTTTGATCAGGGCTTTTGATTAAGTTGATTCAGTTTAGATTAAATGGAAAGACAAACAAAAGTATGTCTTCAAGTAAAGTGCTTGACTTAAAGAACGAGCTTAGATAAGCTAATGAAACTGCAGTGATAAGTCAGCCAGTCTGAACTGCTCATGAATTTGAATGGAGAGAATATCTGTAATTGAAGTTAAATATATTTAAAATACCAAGAATTTATATCTGATCAAGGAGAAGACTTTCAGAAATAATGCCAGACCTAAATGGATAGTTACTTAAAGAAGGATTTTAGAAACACATGAGCACAAGGAATAGAAAAGAACAGAAAGGAATTAAAAAATACTGATCAGCAAATAAAGTTAATTCTTAGAATGTAGAGCAGGAATAAAAACTGTTTAAACTGAAGCTGAATTAGAACTTGCAAAGAATATTAATAAAGAACTTTACAACCTTGGCTATTAGAGAAGTGGAAAATGAATGAGATTCAGTTGAATAATGTGCAAGGTTATGCACTTGGAGACTGCTGACAAGACTTTCTGCTATCAGCTGAGGACTCATCAAAGGGAAGCAATAAAGAGGAGAAGTATTGGAGTATACTAATTGGTCACAGGATATCTGTGCATTGATAGTGTGGTGCAGCTCTGAAAAGGCAAATTGTGACCTAGACTGCGGGTGTATTTCCAACACATACAGGGGAATACCAATGCTCTGGTAAGTCTTTATTTGAAATAATACAGATAGTTGTAATAATCCATTTTTCAAGAAAGAAATTGGGGCTAGAGTAGGCACAAAGAAGTAATACTAAAGTGATCAAAATGAATAGAGCCTGCCTTACGGGAAGACAGAGCTTTGTTTACTCAGTTCAGCAAAACAAATGCTGAGAAAAGTTTTTGTTTGTAGGTCATCAGTGAGGAAATAAAATATGATGAAAGCCTTATATAGCCTAGAATATGGATGTAAAAAAAGTAAGTATGAATTGGCCATTAAGAAATTTAGAGTGGAAATTGAAAAGTCATAGTTGTTCCACCAGGGAGATTACTGGAAGAGCTTCCTAAGAAAAGTATTGGAGAAAAACACCAACCAGCTTGAA